CAATGTCACAAGAAATGTGAAATAAGTAGGCAACATGAAGGGAGACTGGCAAATGTCACCCAACTTTTAAGCCGTGTAGGCAACAATGAATGACTCAAAAGTCCTTTTCCAAAAAGTGTTGGGTGAGTATGTCAAATGAGGATCTTTACAAAAAGTTTTTGGCTGCAGAAAATTATGTGTATAAACCACAAGGGCACTCGGAGAGAGCATATTTCTGCCAAGGCCAATGGTCCAGTCTTCTGTGAGTGCATTTACGTAGACACAAATAACCTGTTTATGAGGCTTATTCCAGTTGTGATCATATTGGGGATATGGTGTTTACGTGAGCACAGAGAAATTAGATTATTCATATAGCTTACTAGTAACTTGGTTAGTTATCACTGCAGTCTATTTGCACAGGCGCCTGTGATGTTTACAAAAACAAACCAACAATGGAAGATCACAGCGACAGGACATATTTAACACTACACTGTATATTTCCTATCACTTGACAACTTAACAGCTCATTTCTTCTCTGCTCCGATCGCCAACACCCGTCTGATCTGACCGCATCCGCGTCTCCCTCTCTCTGCCTCACACACACACTACTGCTGAGCTGACGTTATTCCTGAAAGCAGCTACACTACTCTTACAAAACTGTCCTCCAAGGGGGCAATCGACGAAAATAAGCAGCCTCTTTTATTACCAAAAGACTTAGCTCCACTTCTGCATCGCTCCAGAAGTGAAACTCTTTTCGCTAGGACTGCACCATATTGGAAAATTTTTTTTTTCCAATATGGTTTTTTATGGTTTTTTTATTTTTTTTGCAATATATATTGCGATATTACAAAAATACAAGAATTTTCACCAGATGACTTAAACTAAGAAAATTAAAAAATAGAGGCGGGGCTTTTACTCACCACAACTGCAGAGGCTCCCAGCTTCATTTGAAACAGACTACATTATAGACGGTCCGTTATTTATTAATCCCTCTCTATCTTTATATTTTTACTTTTTATCTGCTCCCGTTGTCTTTAAAAAGATAACACATTGCGTCATCATTTCAAATTCCACACTTCCTGAATTTGTTTCAAATTAAAAGCCCCTTATAAACTCGGCTGAGAGAATCGCTCCATTTTCTAAACAGGCTTTTATTGTGAAACATTTGTAGGAACTTGTTGTGGAGGATTCGGTGACTTGTATGTTTGTTTACGATACTTCAAATGTAGCTCCCGCCATCTGCTGGCATTTTTTACGTTACTACAACAACATTTCAGCTGGCACATGAACAGACACAGTGACTCAAATAATAGTACAAGTAATAAAAATAGGACAAGAATAACCCGATGACATCACACACGCTGTCAAAGACGGCTGGGGATAATTGGTGAGTACCATCGTGTAGTGTGTCATGTCTGTCGGCCAAGTCACGGCGCGATTTTAGGACTCTAGAATCGTGTAATGTGACACAGTGACTTTCAGAACGGGCAGGAAAGTCGTGTAGTGTGAACCGGGCATAAATCCTACCATTTCTCCCTCTTGCATGTCGCTCATTTTCAGTGTGTGACTGCAGCGTGTGCATGAGAGGGGGAGGGGCTGCTGAATGCTCAGAGGGGCGAGCAGAGCGGAGCAAGAAGCTTTCTTCAGAGCTGCTTTTCTGAAGCAAAACAAAAGTTTACATGTTCTAAAAAAAAAAAAAAAAGAGAAAACATCGCATGTCCTGCGATGTGACTAACGTACATGCGCACATCGCGATGGCGATGTTCAAACGATATATCGTGCAGCCCTATTTTTCGCTGCTGTTGTTGTTTGTATTCCTGTTATGTCACACCTGAGGCCACACCTTCGCAGTTAGTCGGTGGCACTTGATAACTGTGATACTGTGTACACATGCAACAGTACCCCAGTGAAGGGCTCCGTTATAGGGCTGCAACTAACGATTATTTTCACTGTCGACTAATCTGTCGATTATTTCTTCGATTAGTCGACTAATCATTTTTATCAAAAAATGTGTTAAAATGTTGAAAAATGTCGGTCTGTCTCTCCCAAACCCCAAAAACTAGGTCATCTAATGTCTTGTTTCATACTCACGCCAAAGGGTTTTAGTTCCCCGTCATGGGAGAGCGTGTAAAGCTGCCAATATCTGAACATAAGAAGCTGCAATCAGAGTATTTTGGGGTACTGTTACAGTACTTTTCTATGAAAAAAGACTCAAACCGATTAGTCGACTACTAAAATAGTCAACAATTATTTCAACAGTCGATTAGTCATTGATAAGTCGACTAATCGTTGCAGCCCTACTCTGTAATGACTGATTTCTCTATAAAGTTTGAGTAACTACATGTGTAGACTACCCCAAAGTATTACTAATACCCCGTGAATCTGGATTCTGATACGGAGTCATTGTATTTCTACAACAGGCTATGCTTTGACTGTTTATCCCCTATATGTCCTGTAAATACGGCAGAACTGACAATTAAGTTGACTTTAGTCATTACTGAACTTTACTACCGTATACTGGATTTTAGGATTCATGGCATTCAGTCCGCTGAGGCTATTGCCCTTTCACACAATGCTAACAAAAAAATAATTTGTGTATCTTCCCTGTGATTCAGATCTGCTCCAAAATGTAATGGGTCCTTCCTTGGCCTATGCTACACCCTTGCTCCAAAGTTACTGGAAATTGGGCTGGTAGATTTTGGGTAATCCTGACAAACAGACTAAACTGAAAACATAACCTCCTTAGCTGAGGCAAAGATGCAAAAATGGTATAATACCATCAAAACTGTGAGATAAACACCTAAGAAAAAAAATGGTGACACTTCCCTTCAATCCCCCTTTTAACATTTATAATCACTATTGCACATATGCTTTACAACACACTATAATGCAGTTATAAGAAGAGATAATGACATGTTAAATGGTTATTAATGTACAGTATTTGAAGACCTAACACTTGTTTTACTTCATTGTGATTTATCTGTTGATACACCAGCCTCTACTTAATGGTGCCCACAGGAGGAATTACAGTTGTTGTCAAGTACATTAACAAACACTTTGGCTATATCTGCTTACAGCTACATTATAGTATGACATAAATCATGTGTTTATTACTCATTTGACATTTAGGTTAATGAAAAGTGGTACTGCAAAAATGTAGCACGAATGTGTGTGGCTGAGGCTGCACGCTCGCCCTATAAAGATATAATGGTCTTTTAGTAACACTCAAAGCTCTATCACAAATAACGCCTCGTACATTTGGCACTTAAGACGCACATTATGTGGCACTTCTAGTTTATCTGCAGCTGGGTATTGACAACCTGCATTTATTTGCCCATTGAGTATATAATCTGAAAAGGCTGTTGTAAGACTAACTTGTGCCATACTTGCTACTCACGCCATACCAAGGTGAAAATTTATTCAAAATTTACTTTGCAGGCAAACAAATGGTGCCATTTACTATGTAATATTCCAAAACAGTGGCTGGTACAATCTCAAAACGAGTGTGAGGGAGATGTCTATCACCTGCATGTTGTCTTATAAAACCATCCAGGACAAGTCACATCACAATCATCAAAGAGGGCAGTGAAATCTGTGAGAGGAAGTGAGAACAGTGACGGTGAGGTGGAAGTCGTTAGCTGTGTGAAACCTGCTCTGTTACACCCACACTCACCTCACTCTCCGCAGTTTTAGGTAACAAAGGTTTAACTTTAGGTACATGGAAGTAGTGGGAGATTACTGTCCACTTTTTCTGCTCTAACTTTAGACCGCTCCGACACAATCAGATGGCATAAACTGTCGACGGTGCCCTCCTTTCATTTGCATCCTATTATTACTTTTGCACAGACTGCTTATTCTGTCGAGCTAATACAGCTTGGATGTGTGCTGGTGGATGATGCGGACCCTCCCTGACCCAGTTACTAAGCTGTCATCCTGCAGAGGGAACAAAGAGGAGCAGCTGTCTATCAATAGCCTGGATGTGTTTTCAGGAGGGACACAAATAAAGCAAGAGGACAAACAGCACGTGCGCCTGTCCCAAATCAGCGGGGGACGCCACAGATGAGCACCTGCTGTGGTTCCTCAAGTGATCTTTGATTAAAGTGGTGGCATGGAGGTCACTTTGAATGTGAAATCACCCGAGAAACACAGGACAAGTATTAGTTTTAGTGCTGAAATGATAAGCCACTTAATCAATTAGTTGGTAGACAGAGAAAAGGCTGACATTAACAATAATTTCCCCCCATAACAGACTATGTGGTCTACAAAATGTCTGAAAATGCCCGTTAAATTGTCATGTCCTCAAATAGCTTATGTTTTCTCATAGCACAAAACCCAAAAATGCTTAATTTACAATAATATAAAACAAAAAAGCAGCAAAGCCTCACATCTAAACTGTTGGCAAATTACTTCCTATTAATCTATCAATTGACTAACCTCTTTCAGCAATATTATTAAGCAAAGTAGGAATTTGCTGTTATTTCTTATATATTTGTATGAAAATCTAATGTCAATTTTTGTTTGTTTCACTGCTGATCATCACAAAAAAACAAGCAATCTGAAGACCTTGAAATCTAGATAATCATAATGAGCATCTTTCACTATGTTTTGCTATTTACTAGACTAATAGTTCATCCACTGATCAAAAGTCATAAAAATAACCATTAGTTGCAGCCCTTGAAGTAGCTGCTGTCCACGGGGCTGAATAATCGGCTATGAAATGGTGATTTTTGGTCTGGGAGGCAATAAACATATGCACAGGACACATCGCTGTGGAGGACAAAAGATGTTGCAGCAGATGAAACCCTACACACAATGGAGCATATCTTTGTTGTGGAGATTATCTGATGGCAAATGCTCCTGCGGTGTGTGTGTGTGTGTGTGTGTGTGTGTGTGTGTGTGTGTGTGTGTGTGTGTGTGTGTGTGTATGTGTGTGAGGGGGGGCAGTGGCAAGAAATCCTGCTAAAAATCACACAAAAACACAACAGTAGTTTTCAATAGCAGCTGTGGCCTGCTTCATTTACCTGCTGATTCACCAGTGTTGATCCAGTCTGGGTTTGCAATGCTGGCTATTGCAAAGATATCTGCTGCCAGAAACAGGCACCCTGAAATGATCGTTAGTTTATCCATATCGCCAGCTGACGACGCGTTTGAGTAACGTGGAAAAATGTGCTGCTCGTTGTCCAAAGTGTGTTGAGACACAGGTTGGGCTGTTATCAGTCTAACCTCGCCCCCTTCAACAGGAGCCTGCTGTTGTGGTTCTGCTGTGCATTTTGCAGCAATGTTAGCTCCTTCGCGTCAAGCAGGCGAGAGCGTCCAGCTACAAAAGGCTCACAAACGACACACAAAAGCATCACATCTCAAATGTCCGTTGTAGTCCAGTACGGTAAAACTATAGCTCACTCTGCGCCGGGGCCCTGAACTGCTTGTGTTGTCTCTCGGATCCGTTTAGCAGCAGCAGCCGCCGCAACAGCAGCATCGGGTACAGCTGCGGCTAGCAGGTAGCTAGCTAGCTAGTTCCCAGATTCGGGCTCGGTGTGCCGAGCTGCGGCCCAGAGGCTGCTCGACGGCCGAGACCGCAACTGCGCTAGCATTTCAGACACAATGTCACACAGACGGAGGCCGAGAAGAAGCAAACCAAGTTCCCCTCACTTCGCGGTGTCCGTGTTTCTAGCGGAGCTCTAACGTTAGCCGTCAGGGAAACGAGAACCCATCACCCTCTCTTGCTTATTCGAGCCCGTTCTCCTTCTCCGCTGGAATAGCATCTGGTACTCTCAGTCCGTTAGCTTCACCTCCTCCTCCTCTTCTTCTTCTTCCTCGGACCACGTGAGCAGACGGTATTTAACGCTGCGTATTTAAATCCCGAGGAGCCGTTAACGTTACAAAGTCCCGATGTGGACGGCAAAGCGGTAACGTTATTGTTATGCTTTCCACCCGTGTGTGCCTGCCGTTAGCTCAGCCTCCCTTTCTGCCAAATGACATCAGGCGAACACCCCCACGCAGCGTCACTCACTCACACACACACACACACACACACACACACACACACACACACACACACACACACACAAC